GTCTTCTCCTGGTCTTGAGGCTACACACTAATCTGGTTATATTCAGAGTATGCATTCAGAAAACTAAGCAGCTCATGTCTAACTACGGCATCAATGAGGATGTTGATGCGTGGCAACAAGTAGCTGTCTTTGGAAAAGGCTTTGTTGAACTCGGTGAAGTCCATGCAAATGCGCCACTTTTCATTGACCTTGGTCACCATAACGACATTGGATAGCCAGACTAGGTAGGCCACCTCTGTCACCAATCCATTCACTAATAGCTCCCCACTTCTTCTCCATGGATTGCGACCTTCTAGTAGTGACACTTCTCAGCTTTTGGCAGACGAGTTTGTGCCGGGGATTGATGTTGAGCCAATAGGTGGCAACTTCAGGGTCAATGCCTTTAAGGTCTTCATGAGACCAGGCAAAGACATCAATATTCTGCCTGAGAAAATCAACGAGCTCTCGTCTATCTTTGGGAAGTGAGAGCCAAAATAGATTCTCTTGTTTGGAAAGCTTTCATCCATGAAAACTAGTGCAAGCTCCTCTACTAACTTTCCTTTCTCTAGTGTATTGTCATCCCTAGAGTCAAGAAATTCCATTTGTAGAGCCTCTTATGGCTTTTTGGCCATCACGAAGGCGACATAGCACTCCCTGGTAGCAACTTGGTCTCCTTGAATTTCTCTAATTCCGTTTGGGGTTGAAAAATGGAGAATGAGGTGATAAGTGGATGGCACCCCTCGAGGTGTTGAGTGCAGGATATCCTAAGATGATGTTATAAGCAGATGGGCAACCCAACACTAAGAAATTCACCATTATGGTGGAGTTTCTCAATGTTGTGCCCGCAGTTATTGATAGAGTGATGGAGCTCAGAGGGTACACCTTTTCTCCTAAAAATTCAATGAGAGGCATCCTGATGGGTTGAAGCCTCTCCCTGTCGAGTTGAAGATTATCGTATGCCTATGAAAAGAGGACATTGATGGATCTACTACTGTCCACAATGATCCTTCTTATTTGATAGTTGACTACCATCATGGTTAATACCAACAGATTGTCGTGTTGGCGCTGGATTCCCTCTAGGTCTTTGTTTGAGAAGGAGATGACCTTACCATTCCCTTGTCTGTGATACTTCAAAGGGTGCAGGTCATCTAGCTCCGAGAGTTTAACCTTTCTAACGTGTGTCTTTCTAGTTGAGTTGGAGTCACCTCCTCCCGCAAGCCTTCCGGAGATGGTATGGATTTCTCCTAGAGGTTATTGGTGTTCTCTCTCACCTTGGTTGCGATTAGGTGGTGGGGATGTGACCTCTGCTTGCCACATATTGTTACAATTGGCCACAATGTATAAGGTCCTTGATTTGCTTTTTGAGTTCAAAAAAGTCGTCAGTGTCATGGCCATGGTCGCGGTGGAAGCGACCATACTTATTCGGGTTCCTGCAGTTTGGGGCAGATTTCATTTTTCCTGCCAAGTGCACCACAGAGTCATCCTGAATTTGAAGCAGAATATGCTCAACTATGGCATTGAGTGGATGTCACTCCCTTTGAGGCGCAGGCCGAGGCGATCTTTGGTTGATACCCTTTTTGTCCTGCCTTTTTTGTTCTCAGTCTCTTTCTTGTCTTCACGGGGCTCCTTTCTCTTCTCCTCTCCAGGTGAAGACTCATCTCACTTGGATNTTTCTTGTCTTCACGGGGCTCCTTTCTCTTCTCCTCTCCAGGTGAAGACTCATCTCGCCTGGTTNTACCCTTTTTGTCCTGCCTTTTTTGTTCTCAGTCTCTTTCTTGTCTTCACGGGGCTCCTTTCTCTTCTCCTCTCCAGGTGAAGACTCATCTCACTTGGATTTGGTGACATCCTTGGCGTTCATGCATTTCTGGGCCTTTGACAATAATTCTAGAATGCTCTTTGGTGGGTTCTTCAAAACTGAGAACAGAAAGTTGGATGCGTGCATGCTAGGGATAAAGGCAACCATGATGACTTTGTCATCTAGCTCTTTGATTTGGAGTGCCTCCCCATTAAAAGGAGTTAGCTAACTTGTTAGGCTTTTGTCTCGGTCTTTCTTGATACTAAACAAGTGGGTAACAGGCTTCTGGTGTCGGCGTCCCCCTATAAAGTGGGAGACAAATGATTTGCTTAATTCTGCAAAAGAATTAATAGAAGCTAATCTAAGTTTGACAAACCACTGGCGCGTAGGTCCCTTGAGGGTGGTAGGAAAAGCTCTGCACATAATTTTGTTTGATATGTTATGCAGCTGCATGAAGGATTTATAGTTNATTAAAAGGAGTTAGCTAACTTGTTAGGCTTTTGTCTCGGTCTTTCTTGATACTAAGCAAGTGGGTAACAGGCTTCTGGTGTCGGCGTCCCCCTATAAAGTGGGAGACGAATGATTTGCTTAATTCTGCAAAAGAATTAATAGAAGCTAATCTAAGTTTGACAAACCACTGACGCGTAGGTCCCTTGAGGGTGGTAGGAAAAGCTCTGCATATAATTTTGTTTGATATGTTATGCAGCTGCATGAAGGATTTATAGTTGTCGAGGTGGTTCGGTGGATCTTTTATGCTATCAAATACTTCCACAGTTGACATTTTGAACTTTGAGCGGGAGGGGGAAGTTGGCCACATTAGCTACGAATGACGTGTTAGTAGGCCTCACAAGGTATTTGACTGTTTGTAGCGCTCGCGCCTTGATGGTGTTGAAGACGTCGCTTAGTTGGTTCTGCACCTCCTTTATTTTTTTGTTCCATTGGTTAGGGACGCCTTTGGAAGGGTCGTTGTAGTGGCACTCATGGTCCATTTTTCCCTCATCTTCATGGAAAGGAGGGTCACCAATGTGGGATGACGGAGCTAGCACATGAGGAAGATGAGTCGGGGCTCCTTGGCTTTGTTATGGGGTGCCTTGGCATTGGGGGGTGCCTTGGCGCGGCAAGGGGGCGCTTTGGGCGAGGTGCCTAGAGTGCTTCCCTTCTTGGTTGCTGGGGCATGACTCCTTAAGGGTGCCAGACGAGTATTAACTGAAGAATCTGCTAGTTTTGGCTCACCAACAACTACATAGTCTCCAGCAACTTTTGTTGTGGTTCAGAGACGTAGTTCGTNTAGAGTGCTTCCCTTCTTGGTTGCTGGGGCATGACTCCTTAAGGGTGCCAGACGAGCATTAACTGAAGAATCTGCTAGTTTTGGCTCACTAACAACTGCATAGTCTCCAGTAACTTTTGTTGTGGTTCAGAGACGTAGTTCGTCGGCGGGGGTAAGACCTCCTTCTAGCATTGTTGACCATCTTATGTCTGCTGATTCATGGATTTAGTCGTAATAGCAATAAAAAAGAAAGAGAGCAAGAAAAAAATGAAAAGACAGTAGGGTGAAAACAAAGTCGTTTCCATAGACGACGCAAAACTAATGATGCACAAAATGTGTTTATACACCACCTATCAAGTATTTAATGCNGCTGATTCATGGATTTAGTCGTAATAGCAATAAAAAAGAAAGAGAGCAAGAAAAAATGAAAAGACAGTAGGGTGAAAACAAATTCGTTTCCATAGACGACGCAAAACTGATGATGCACAAAATGTGTTTATACACCACCTATCAAGTATTTAATGCAGTAATTAAGAAGGAGACTTAAGAGAAGCAAACATAAATTAAGTGATTCGGTCAGGGTGACCTACTCCTTTATGAAGGGCTACGGTGGCCTAATTGTTTTATTGTTCAAAGAGTGTAGAGTACTCAGAAGTGAGTGATGTTCCCCATGTGTCAGTGAGATTTACAATTTATAGGCGTCTCATAATAGATTGAGGTGTCATTCTTATAATAGGTGAGGTAGTTCAATGGACGTGGTGTCATTCTCATAATAGATGAGATAGTTCTATGGAGGTGGCGATGTGCACCTGATGATTGTGTCCCACAGAGATTTCCTCGTGTGTCAGTTGTGAACGAAGTCTTTCAAAATGGCGAGACTGACTTGACTGAGCTTCCTTCATCTTGTGGTGATTTTGAATTGTATATTTGAGGTAGACTTGGTCTGTATTTCTAAACTGGGCCTCTGAGTTAGCCTGGTCTAGATTAGGCCCATCAAATCTTTTTCCCTTTCTCCAATTTGATGATCCTTTCAGTTTTTCTTGTTGGATTGGAAGGGGAACATAAGTTAATGGATCAATTAATCTCTCCAAGATTTGCAAAAAAGAAAGAGATCAGACTGTTAAGTAGAGAAAAAAAACAAAAGAAGAGAAGATGACAATATTTTACCTTTCTTGAGCATTCTATAGCTAACAAAATTTAGATAAATGTCATTATCATTTTTTTTATTACTTGGGAGTTCATAAGGCGAGCAAATAATAAAAAATGATGTTTTGAAGAAGAGAAAATGACTTCTTTTGCCTATTCTTTTACTTTACCAATGAAGTTTATGAAGAAAACAAAATAAAATCCTAGTACATAGGAATTCTAATTCTTCTTTAGCAATCGTTTTTCAAGTTTACCAGCGAATTTTCAAGAAACAGACAATCCTTTTTTTTTTTTTGTAAAAGTTAATAAAAAATTGATTAAATATCTTTTTAGGTTTTTTTTTTTGTTGGGTCAAAGGGGCAGGAACAGACCTATTCAATGGCCTAGGGGATCTCTTGTTGTACTGCCCCCCACCCAATCTCAATGGGGATCCACGTTAATTTCTTAACTAGGTAATTTATTTGTATTGACATATTGTAAGTTTTATACTCTTTTGGTAAGTGTGGAATAACTTAGATTTTGACCCAATTCCCTTATTCGAATTTCAGTTATACCAAACTCGTAGAGAGACTTTTCTCTCCCACCAAAACATTATCTCTGCTGGAACAATAAGGAAACCAAAACTATCCATCCAAAAGAGTCGTACCAAACTTAGGAAACAAAAACATACAAAAAGTAAAAACAATGAAATTCAAGCAAAGCAAAGCCACGGCAGAGACTTTTTTTTAAACTGGATCGGAAGTGAGAGACACATGTGAAAGGGATTGAGAGAGAGTCCTCATAAAACAACACCAACTTTCTCTTTCTNTGCAGTTGAAGATCAACCTGAGGGTTCTGTTGATCTGAAGAAGGTCTTAAATGAAGCTTTCTTAAATACCGAGGCTAGAGGATCATCAACCGCGTGCATTCTCACACTTAAAGGCGACTGCTTGCACGCTGTGAATGTAGGAGACAGTGGCTTCGTGGTAATCAGAGGCGGAAAAATCATATATCAGTCACCAGTGCAACAACATAGATTTAACAGTCCCTATCAGTTGGGAAACACAACTGATAGCCCAAGTTTAGCTGAGGAGTTTGAAGTTGTAGTAGAAGCTGGGGACATCGTCGTTGCTGGGACTGATGGATTGTTTGATAACTTGCATCCAGCAGAGATTGAGGATGTAGTTAGCCTGTGTTTGAGAAAACGTAACATGCCAGAGCTATTAGCTTGGACCATGGCAAAGGTTGCTCGGAAAAAATCCCTGGACGAATGGACTGATAGTCCCTTTGCAATGGCTGCTTACGATGCAGGAGTTGAACACTTGGGAGGCAAATATGATGATATTACAGTGATCGTCACCTATATTCTTTCTCCAAATTTGTTCTAGCATGTAATTTCCTCAAATACTCACATTTAAAGAACACTGTCTGAACTCAAGAGAGCTGCAATGAAGCTTCAAGTCAATCAAAATCTGTTCAACACTGGCTGACATTGTTGACAAAAATGAGTACACTCACGGGGAGACACGACTTTTTGTGCATCTAGTGATTCATTTTAGGGAAGAGCAAGGAATGGCAACAAAAGTGAGAAGCTTGGATGGTTTTGGAAGATCGACTCCATAGACTCACAAAAGAATTGACCAAACCTTGCCAATAGTAGAAAAAATTCGTGTTTTCCTTTTTTTCGATCTTCTTTTTAGATTTTTTTCCCTTCTTTTGTTGCGGAAAGGGAGTGAAAGCAGAATTTCCAAAAAACTTGAAGTCACAGGTACCAATGCTCCACACACTGGACACTGGGAAACTTAATTACCTAATGAGTACTTACAGTAACTTCTATAAGGGGACTTTGTTCTTCTCTGACTATTTAAAATGCAAAGGTAAAGAGATGAGAGGAACCTCAGAAAAACAGAAGTTTGTTCTATTGGTCCTCTGGGATCTGATAGCTCATGGTGGATTCTGGATATATTTTATCTAATCCAGTGATTGATTTAGATGGTAAGCTGTTTGTATCAGTTTGGTGCAAGACACTTAAATGAAGATTATGAGGTGCACATGCTAAGTAAAACTGCTATAATCTTCAAAGCTTGAGCAAGTTCAGAATTATAAATGATCATTGACAGGGATGTTTTAGAATTTTTTGTTCTATAGAGTGTAAGGCATAGCTTCTTCATGTTAACGACATAATATGTTGTCATTGGTTGTTGACTANTATGATCATTGACAGGGATGTTTTAGAATTTTTTGTTCTATAGAGCGTAAGGCATAGCTTCTTCATGTTAACGACATAATATGTTGTCATTGGTTGTTGACTATGCTTGTATTCTAAAATGCCAATTAAATTTTCAAGTTTACGACAAAGGATTCATCTTTTAAGAAAGTATATCATGAAGCATTGACGAAATATTTCAGAATATCTATTTTCTATNTATGCTTGTATTCTAAAAAGCCAATTAAATTTTCAAGTTTACGACAAAGGATTCATCTTTTAAGAAAGTATATCATGAAGCATTGACGAAATATTTCAGAATATCTATTTTCTATGGCGTACCCTGATGATAATATGCAATAATAGAAGATTGATAGGAGGCTTTTATAATAGGATATGTGGTAATGCAGTAGTGTTTGCAGGGTGGTACAATGGCAGAGCAAAGTCAAACAAGAGAAGCAAGAAGATAGTGGTGGCAAANGTAGGAGGCTTTTATAATAGGATATGTGATAATGCAGTAGTGTTTGCGGAGTGGTACAATGGCAGAGCAAAGTCAAACAAGAGAAGCAAGAAGATAGTGGTGGCAAAGAGAACATTCAAGTGCCTCAGCCTTACATGAGGCTGGTAATTGGTGCCATCATTTAGATGAGCAAGCACCACTGCTCACANAAGAGAACATTCAAGTGCCTCAGCCTTACATGAGGCTGGTAATTGGTGCCATCATTTAGATGAGCAAGCACCACTGCTCACAATTCAAAGAAACATAGATGAAATAGCTATCCGTTTTGATACTGTTTACATTATGCCCTGTTGTACTATGATGATTCCAACATAACGCAGTATCGCTAATAGTGCCAGCTGAAACTGTATCATGGACCAGAAGTTGAAGGTCACATTTCCATTTTAGAAATAAACTCTAATTTGATTTGTACTTGTAACACAAGAACACATTGATCATTATGAAAAAAAACTCTTGCGACTTTTCTTTTTCTTTTTGATTATAACCGATGGAATCTCTAAATAATAAGTTGCATGAACTTAGATCAATCAAATAATGATATTTCTATGCAACGAGGGCAACAAGGCATTCTAATCAATTTGTCCATTTAGATTGTGTCCATGTGGGAGAATGATAAAGAAAAGGGAAGGAAGAGAAGACTTTACAAAAAACGGGATTTATAAAAAATGGGTTGGTACGGATATTAATATGGATTGACAAATATGTCTAACACAAGCTGAGCCACTCTGAAGCAGGGCTTGGGAAATGGTAAGACCAAATGTCACGCCACTGACATTGTAAATGCAATTGACGAAATACTATACACCATGTTCACAATTTATGTTATTGAATTTCAGCTACTATACTGGTCTTAGAACCTTTGTAAGATATCCGAAAAGACCTAGAGCTCATGTAAAGAAACACACCATTGGTGCAATAAACAAGATCAAATATTACTTTGGTTACAAACATGCCTAAATGAAATTTGGCAACAAGAGAAGCAATGCCTCTTAAGACACATTTTATGTTCAATGCTACCTGTACGAGGCAAAAAATGGGGTTACCTCCTACAGGAATAAAGAATTGATATTGCTAGTAAAGGTGAGCTCTGAACTTGATCTCCCAGTTTCTCCTTCCTGCAACATGAACAAACTGCCCAAAATCAAAGTGCTTCGATCGAAGGCACTCTGATGCTTAAGTCAGTAATGTAACTGAGTCAATTGCAAGAAAACAAAAAGAGTTCAGCGTATCTTTCACCTTAGTTTCTTATGCCTTTATAGATCCCTGTTTAGTTAGGGTTTTCAAGATTTTCGACTCAAGGTGGTATACCTTTCTTCAATTAGGCGAATCTGTTTGGGAAGTTACTGAGATTTCTCTAGCAATTCCTCCTGTCGAGCCTATAATTATGCCCATTTGTTTAACCATAATGCCTGAGTTAAAGACATCTCTTCAGCACCACGTTTACTGTTTGAAACAGCTCAATCATCATATGGACCGACCTTTACTCTTCCTTACTGAGCTTATCGATCAGCTCAGTTTCGGTCTTGTTGATGCCTTTCTCACTTGACTGGTCTTGTCACCCTCACATGAGATCATTTAATGTAAATGCACGTGTCATAAAGGTAGCCAATCCCTTCATTTGCCCCCAAAAAAGTATGACAGATGCATTTCATCTTTCAGTCATTATATGTACTTAAACACATCATTGCGCATTCTTTTGGGACATCTCCCCTTGTTTTGGCAGCGTGTCTAGGATTTAAATATTGCCTTTTAGAATTTCTTCATTTTATAAGCGACTTCCATTATTCATTCCTTCACTTTATGTTCTCTAGCTTCAAACTTCTTGACTTCTTCTCTTCTCCACCTTCGTTATCTTTTACCATGGCTCCTCTTATTCCTTCTAGGATTCCAACTTTCAAGATCAAATATAACATCCCCGACGACGTTGACATGTGAGCAGCAGGTACCAACAAACCTTTCATCGGTACCAAAGAGAGCATCCCAATCTATACCCGCGCTATCACAGAGGGTGGCGTTCGTTTTTCACTTGATCCCTTACTTCTTTGGGTGCTGTCAGCAATGAAGCTGCTCCCCATTCAATGCTGCCCCAACTTTTTCAGAATAGTAATGGGTGTAGCTACTTTGAACAAACTTCTGAACTAGACCCTAGGGTTATGGGAAATTTTATACTATTACATTATCAAACTAGCTGGAGATAACTACTATCTTACGGTGAGGAAGAAGGACCGGTAATTGGTGACCCATATTCCAGATTCCATCAAAGGTCATGAGAATGACATAATCTTNACGGTGAGGAAGAAGGACCGCTAATTGGTGACCCATATTCCAGATTCCATCAAAGGTCATGAGAATGACATAATCTTTGTTTCTGAAAATTGGGAGTATGCCGCTGGTGTTACCCCCTCCTATTGTTGCCCCCATAAAGAAGGCGTTCCTGGTGATTGACTTTTTTACTCTTTCATCTTAGCTTATTAATCCACTGTTCTTGACATATACTATCTTCTGTCTGAAGGTGAGACTGTGAAGGGCAGAGTTCCTAAGAGCTCAGTTAAGAAGGATGAGCTCAAAAAAGTATGGGGCTTCAACGATTCACTTTTCTGCCATGCTGCTCAAACCCTGCTAGGGTACACCCCGACGTATATGTTATTCATCGATGTGCCAAATCGACCTAATGCTACTCTTGCTGCCAATCGAGAGACTATTCAAGCTGCTCGGGAACAAACGCCTCGATCCCGTAAGAGAGCTCTACCTGGCATTTCTAGACGAAACAGGGCTGTCAAGAATTTTATAGATTTTTTATTGACTGTTAAATAGACCCACACCGTCGAACCGTCTTTGCCAATTAATCTATCTATTTCTTTGATCCCTGTGCATGAAGAGGAGCCTGCATCCAAGGTTCCTACTAAATTTGTTCCTCTTGAACCGAGCGATGCAGTTCGGCAAGTCAATGATCCAGATGACTTGGTTCGGGCCACTGCGTCTGTTCCTACAGAGCTTGATCCTCCGATTTCTGTTCATTCCCCCTTCAACCAAGATGATTCAGTCTTTGAACTTCTTGAAGACCTTGCCCCAAAAAAGAGCATAATTGTAGAGTCTGAAGCAACCCCCTTCTCCTAAGCCAATCAATCCTCCTTTTCGCCCTGTCCTCAAAGCCAAAAGAATAGAGATTCCTGTGAAAGATTCAACCATTAAAGACTATAACATTGCTGTAGGGATTGCTAGGGGGTGATTTTACCTTAGGACTTAGCCGTAAATGAGGTTTTGTCTGATGATGAAGTTGCTCGTCAAACAATCCAACCTATGGTTCTGGTACGACACTTGTTCCCTTTTTCCTTTCTTTAGAAATGTAGCAATTCATCTAAATTTATTTCTTTAATCTTGAAGGGGCTTCAAAAGGTTCATGAGGTAGAGGCTAGGATAGCCCAGAAAGATAAGGCCACGAAAGATGTTATCCATTCCCGTGCTTCAGCTTTAGCAAAAAAGTCTGTCAATGAGGAGTATGCTAAGCTCTGTGAGGAAGTTCTGGTTCTTCGGGCTCAAAATCAAAGCTTGACTGAATAGAACAAGAAGCTTTCTACAGAGTTTGGACAGTCAAAAGAATCTGAACATGAGGCAAATGTGGAGCTCTCCCAATCCCAACTCGATTATGCAAGTCTTCTAGA